CTGTTTCTGTATGTTTCTACAAGTTTTGCAATAAAAAAAATAATTTAAAAAAATAACTGAAATTATACGCTAAAAATGAAACCAAATCCGCCAGCAGGTGGCGGCAAGTCACTAATTTTATTACTGAATCATTCATTCAATTGATTCGTTCAAACTGCTGATTCATTCAGGAATGAAGCAAGTGACTGTCTTTATGAATGGGTAATCGTGAATCACTGACTCGCTAGATTCGTTCAGAAACGCATCATTGAATGAATGAAACTCAGCTGTGTTTGCTTCCAGATGGCTGAGCTGTTACTATATTTGGAACTATTTTTGTTGATGAAATAGAGCAAAATCAGGCAGTACTTGTTTATTGAACTGTTGTATTAAATCAATATCACATTTGCAAACTCCCTTAATAACTATTAAAAGTTGTCACTCTCCTTATCGCGATCTGTGGGCACACAAAAAAATAAGAGCGTGCGAGTTCTCAAGACTCAAAAGCACGTGCAAATGATATGGTCCGTCATCACGTTATAAGCGCGGAACCTGCGGGAATAAGACAAAGTCCCTTTAAGGGCATTCTATAGTCTTTGGAATGAGTAGAATTGTTATTAATAGCCGCAATCAGACGCCGAAATTCAAGTTCTGCTCTGTGTTCTCTGCTAATAACCTGACTGTGAATGATGCGAGCGGCATCACTATGTTGTCACTGAGAAGCTGCAGCCGTGGCGGGGATGATTTTTGGTACAACAACAACAACAATGCGCTAAAAGTTTCTTTTCCCCTCATTTTTTCCAATTGATGGAAATCCATAATAGACTCGCTGCAATTAACGGAAAAAGAACTTTAATCCCTGCAACCACAGTTCAATTTGTAGGTAAATATTATAATCGGATAATGCCATAATAATAATACACCCTCAGTGTATCATAGTACATACACTGTATTACAGTGCAGTATGTTACTGTACTAGTAGAAAAAAATATTTGAGGATGCATGGAATGGGCACAAGCTGTTGTAATCAAATATTCTAGATTGCTAATAAGATTTAAGAGAGCAGCAACACGTAACAAAGCAACATTGATCTAATGCACGATCATGCAAAACGAAAAACTTCTAGAGACTGACAACTGTTTGCATCTCTATAATTTCATGTGCAGAAAACTTATAGTAAAGGCTTTAGTAAATAAATATGAGTCTGGCTCACTTGGAGTACGTTCTTGAGAATTTGTAGTTCTGTGCTCCCTCCACCACTACAGACCCAGAGCTGAAGCTGGAGAATACTCTGTCTGATATCCCCCTTATTCTGACACAGCAAAAAGGCCACGTCCTCTGGATCAGTCCTCATGTTCTCCACCACACACAAACACTGCAGATAGCTCCTGATGGTTTCCTAAGTTTAAAATGATACATCATATTATTACTTCAAATAATTATGAACCTATCTTAAATAACAACAACGCCATCAGATAACAGCTCATTTAAACAAATGCACACCAATTGTGAACAGAAGTTTCCCATGTATGTGGCATAAAAAGGTGTACAATAATATTTGCTTTCAAATATTGGTTTTTCTCACCAGTGAAGGAGTTTGGAAATGGATTTCATCTAAATGCCCCTTAAGTCTTCCACTAAATGATGGGTCTGTGAAGAAGAAACATTTTAACAAACAAATAAATGCTTGAGTGCATTTTATGCAGTAAAGCATTGCTCACCATTGGTTGTCAGAATTATTGGTCTTTTGGTTGTGCTCATGAAAGTCTTAATAGCTGCAAGAAATCCAACATCTTCAGGGAAAATGACATCAACCTAAGGGACACATTTAACATTGGCAGCACATTAAAAACTTATCAACAAGTAAAAAGGAGTTTAAATCAGCAAAACCAGTTATTTATACTAATAGACAATTAATTTATTCATTAATTCTGATGCTTTTATAATCATTTAACACAGCAAATATACAAATCATGAAGTGTTATGTAATCCGTTTCAGCTTCCACTCTTACCTCCTCAAATAGTATAAGTGACATGGGGACTGTTCGGCTCTGTCCAAGTGAAGTAGGACCTTTAGAAGGGCATGTTGATTCTTGATCACCTTGTCTACGGTCCTTAAAACCAGACACTGATCTCTGAAGCCCATCTGGTTTCAGTTTGCCAGCTGTTGTAATTACATTTGTGATGAATAATCAAAATAATAACCACAATTGTTCATATTTATACTATCCAGTACATGCTCAATTATGATTTTTTCAGACGTTATACAAATGTGTACTTATTTTACCCAGACAAAGCAGAGACATCTATTAAATGCTGTAGTGAACCAGGCCCTTTTTCTTAAGTTCTTCTCAAACTAGTTCTAGTACACTTACCATGTATATAATGTTCAGGACCATCAGAGGTTTTACCTACAGACTTTTTGCTACTCAACTTGAAAAAGCGAGTGAGTTTTACTGGCTGTGGTTTAGTGCTTAGACGGGAAATGCTAGGAGAACTTGAAGTTTTCCTTCGATGATGATTTATATGGCCTGGATTTGTATGGAAAAAAAAAAGAAGATACAGTAAATGTTTTCATAATTATTCAGATTCAATCCACAAAATAATAATGATAGTTTTATCCAGTTTAATGAATGCGAGAATCCATGAGACTCCATTTAGTTTTCATCTGTGTAGGGATTTTGTGCAAAACGTCAACTAATTAAACAAGAATTCATATCGTATAAGTTCACTCACAAGGTGGATCAGGTTTGATTTTGCTTTGGTTAATGATTTCAGATTTGAGGGTTTTAATTTTCTGAATGTCCACCTGATGAGACTGAGTTGCTTCTGTCAGCTGGGAGAGAATGAGACGACCACAGCGCAGGGTTGAGCTATTCACCTCAAACACCTATGAGACCAAAAAACAGAGGAAGATACAATTAAGGCTGGTTAAACAGACAGCCAGGATTTTGCTTATTGTAATATTTGTAATAGCATTGATATAAAGAGAACATATTGGACTGAGACCTTGAATCCCAGCTCTTGTGCACTAGCATACACAGCAGCCGTTTTGCCCACTCCTGATGGACCAATCATGAGCACTGTGTTACACAGCTCCTGTTCATGGTCTATGGATACAGTATCACCTTCAAAATCACCACAGTCCCATGACTCTACAGGTAAAGAGATTTGTACACGCATTTCTCAGTTTTAGAAATTAAAGAAAAAAAAATGATTGACAATGTATGTTATACCATATATTGTTATTACAACAACTGCACGTGTTCTATATTGACAATTTCATTACCATGACTATTTTCTATCTTCATCCTCCTTTCTTCTTGTCGTCTTCTCCTCTCCTCGGTGTCTGCTCTTATTTTCCATTCTTTCAACCAGCTGCCATCAGAGAAATTAACAAAATGAGATACACTTCCGTATGTCAATATTGTCTAGTATATTAATAATTGGCCATTATTATTGTGTAAAATACTTACTTAAATACTTAATAAAACAGATTATTTTTATTTTAAGTGACATCATAATTCTAGAAAGTTTCTCTAAAAAAGTGGTTCTCAAGCTTTTTTACTTTAAGGCCCCTATTATCTACAATATTTTGTGTGAGTGTGTGTGTGTGTGTTCATATAAAATTAGTAACTAGTCACCCATTATTTAAATAGTGCTTTATACAATACAGATTGTGTCAAAGCAGAAATGAGCAAAATGTAAGAATTCCGTAAGATTTGAGAGCTGAATGTTCTTAATAGAACCAGTGAATTTACATGAATCTTCAAGGAATTTACGTAATAATGACTAAGGATCAGGACTTAAAATACATCAATTTTTAGTATAATTAAGTATTTTCTATAATTTTTCACTGAGGGCTAATAGTGGGCCCCAGCCCCCTGGTTGAGAACCGCTGTTTAGAATATGTTATAGATGTCTAGACAATAATGTCTAGAACAGCGGTTCTTAATCCTGGTCCTCGCGATCCCCCGCTCTGCACATTTTGTATGTTTCTCTTACCACTTCAGGGGTTTGTTCCATTCGACCGTAAGTGCCCTGTGAAGTGGACATCACAGGATATTCTGCCATGATTCCAGTGCGAAAGACGCGTATATGTTCCATTCAAAGGGTATTAAAGTGCGCAAGACGTGACTTCTATGCAAATCTCATGATTAGGGTTAAATAACCCTTCACACTTTTGGAGCAAGTTTTGTCTGTGTGTGGAGATGCTGCAGACTGTGGTGTAGCGCAAATCTGTGTTTTTAAGTGAACATGTCAATTGGAACAGTTCATTCATGGAGCTCTCTTTTAACGAGCTGGTTATCTAAATCAGGTGTGTTAAACAAGAGAGACATGCAAAATATGCAGAGGTCTCGAGGACCAGGATTAAGAACCGCTGGTCTAGAATAAACATGTTCATGGGTTAACTATCCCCTCAATTACCAGGCTATACAACAAGCATCTGGCATTAATGCAGTGACACATTTCACCTGTGTAGTTGCCCTACTGATGCAGAGTTGCCAATGACTTCACTAGACTGTTGAGGCTGATATTTATCTGTCCAGAGAACATCCTCTCTTCGTAGATGACCAGGCCATGCCTCCTGATGAACAGATTCATTCTGCACTGGTTCAGTGACTACAGCACAGAATGTAGTTTGTTGTTGCCTGCGTTTTGTTCGGCTCAGTCGGTTTCTGTACTTTGCATGAGAGGGGACCAAACCATCTGAAAACTGTTCAAAGTCCAACTTATCGGCAGAAACACAGCCTTTATTTGTCCTGTGACATTTGTATGTCCTGTCACAGGTCTTCTCCTCCAACTCTTGTTTTCTCTTTCTCTGGACAGAAGCTGAAAGATGCTTGGAATCATCCGTTTCATCTGCTTCTGAAAATCAATGGCAGACTAAGTCGTCCAACGTGGGGGGGAAAAAATACTTTTCACAAAATATATTAAGTATATTATAGCAAAATCATGTCAGATATTTTTATACCTTTTAATGTAATATTGACAAATTCATGTAACAAACAGAAAATTTTAAAGTAAAAAAAAAATCCTAAAATTACCTATATGCACACCCTTTTGTTTGAACTCAAACGCTTACTGAAAAGTAATTATAATCCTCTAGTCATTATTTAAGTAATTCTGATTAACCCTGAATAACAATCAGCTATTTCAATATGATTTTTTAGCATTGCTTGGTCATATTTTATTGGCTTGGATTTTTTATACCCAGGGTAAGTACAACATAAAGAGCTATGTCTGTTACCTCCTCTTTTCAATATTGAGAGGTTAAGCTGAGAACAGGTGTTTGTTCTTTAAAAAAAAAACATGATTATTTTCCTACCCAAAGCAGAAATATCCTCCTTAGGTGCAGTTCTCTTCCTCAGGAGAAGAGTGAAGAACCTGTGGACGGGAAACTGCAAATTGAGTCTCTGAATCTCTTCCAGCAACTCACTGCTCATTTCATTGCCAAATTCATCTCTCCATCCAGATTTCTGAGGGGGAAAAAGACAAAAGACTGAGCAAACAAATTATTCTACTCTGAATAATTAATATTAATCTCTCTGGGATTTGTCCAATGTTAATGTTAACCTCTGGCAGATCAATCAAAAGGTCCTTGTCACTGGTGTTAATTCGTAAACAGCTGGGCAACACCTCTTTATCAGCTCTAAAATGATCAATGTCTTTTAAGCTTTTGTCACTTGAGCCACGTTCTGCTCTCTCTGCAGGAATGGGGACGAACTGCAAACTCGTATCGCTGCTCATCTTCTTTAATGTCAGTTTACTGCGTTTCATATATCCCTCGTTTTGCATTTGAGAAACTTTTTGCACCGTTTGTGAATGGTGTCCTTCCTTTCTTACGCTTTCTGTGGGAAGAGCTGGTGATGCAGGAGGAAGAGCGGAGTTGTCTTTATCGCCAGTAGGTATTGCAGCATCTGTCAATAGTTTTCCTTTACGGTTGTTCAGAATATCATCACAAAATGACCTGGACTCGGTGGTCTCAGTTACATGGGTGGGATTGTTTCCGCGGCCAGTGAAATTCTCCGATCTTTTTTGTGTTTTCGCTCGTTTTAGCCTGTTGTGTTTTGGCTGCACCTGCGTTTTGGGTCTGCTGGTCGTCTCTAGTAGGTTCTCCTTATAAAAGGTCCTTTTGTCGGAGACACTTCCGGAAGAGTTCTTGATTCTAGTAAGCTGAGGTAGAAAGAATCGTGTCTCCATTTTGCCATATATATCATCCATTTCTAAAATAAACACTGCAGCAAATAGCAGTCAGCAGTGCTATCTCTTGAAATACCATTGTTCCCGGTTGCCATTTCTGGCTTTTGATAAAGTCATAGCCCTACATTAACGAAGAATACAGTACACGTTTTGTGCCTTATAGCACTTTTTAATTAACTGGATTGGTAAAGATTTATAGTAAATTAGTTGAAGTCTAAAGTTAATTCTCGCGCCTAGCAAAAGGGCGCTTGCTCATGAGTTGAACCATCCAATCAGATTCCTTCTCACGTATGACGTTCACTCCGCCCATTGGATGATTGTTGCGAGGGCGTGGATTCTCGTTTTACGCCCGCCCCGTAGATAGAAACCACTTATCTATTTATAGAGAACATTTTAGAATAGATCGGTGATAGAAACCCGCTTCACGTTCAATGCACAGATGACAACGAAAGAAACCTAGCATTTACTATTAAATAAATCGTTGCTCTAGCATTTTGAACACTTGTTTCCTAAAAATGTTTTGTAATTCATGTGAAATCACGAGTCATGAAACATTGTAACTTCGAAAATGTACCCCCATAGCATTTTGAGCACAATTAATTAAAATCCATTTAAACCAAGCATTTACACATCTTTAATTTGTAAATAGTTTTCTTGTGTACACCAAACTTGTGCATTTGCAGAGGAAACAAATCGAAGGAGAAAGGATGCTGTATCTGATATACTTTGGCATGTACAACATTTGAACCTTGTAATAGCAACAAACTATTATATAACCACACACCCAGTATTAACAAAAGTTTGACATCACCTACATTGGATTGAAAACTTTTCTGGATCCCCACTTTAAATGGCATAATTAGGTGGGTTCACAAAGAGTTTTGAAACGAGGAATTCTAGTGGCTCAAACATTGGCAGTTCTCCTTTCATAAGTGTGCATTTATATTGCTAATTAACAAGAGAACTGGTATTAAAAAATATACAAAGATGCCATTCTAAGATGGAAAGATCTTCACACTCTACATGTGAAATAAGGAGCTGACAGACTGCAACATATATACCGATTGGTTCAATCTAAAACAGGTAAAAAAAGAGTATCTGTATGTAATAATAAAAAAAAGGAAATGTAAAGTTGCTTAGCTTTCAAATCCAATTTGAGAAACTTGAATATCAACTTAGTGTCCATATCAACAATTCTGAGTCTACAGCCACTGCATAAGTAGTAACACAAGTGCTACCATGTGCTAAATAATCACTGAAAGCACAGTGGTTAAACAAAATCATAAAATGTATACAGAAAAGGTCAACTAACCATACTCCCAATTCTACAGTAACTCACTTAATCGCATAATGGATTTTCAGAAAAAAAATAAAGCTAAAGATTATACTAAATATGGCTGCTGAAATGATACTGGTTCATAAGTATGACAAAGTACACTGGAAACGTTGAAAGATTGCATCAATTCAGTCAACAGCACTTGCGTCAGTCTGTAATACCAGCAGCTAACTCACTCAAGTCTCAAATGGGCTCCTTATTAATAAATGGGTATATGGGCAGACCAGAAATAGAACAATTGTTCTAAGCCACAGATATTGTTGATTGAGACTGATGATTCCATGGGATAAGTATGGAGCATTTGAGTTCAAACTAGATCTCGTTCATAATGTGTCTTGTAAAACCGACTGTTGTCAGTCTGACACTCCACTTTTGGTGCGTTTGCCATGTAGTGAAACACCCGTGGACACAGCGTGACCATTGCAAGTGGCATCTGATGACTCCTGCCCCTCCTCTAGTTCAGGAAGTGACTCCTCTATCTCCTTCATACGGGCCATGGCCCGGTCAATGGTTGCTGTTGTGACCAGATTGAAGTCATGCAGATTGACCAGGTGAAGCAGAAAGTTCTGACACAGATTCCTGCGGATGATGTATGGCCCGCAGTTCTCCACAAACAGCATGCTCGCCTGTCTCATCTGATTATCAGCAATGAATCTGGAGAAAGGACAGTTAGCAAGATAAGAACAGCACCAATGCTGGATGTTTTTGTAAGTCTATGATCAAGGTTCTAAAAATACAGTTAGCAAAAGGAAACGAAAGACAATATGAATGCATTTTTACCCATTCTTCATAACGTGATGATTCCACAACTTCATTACTTCCTTTTCTCCTTCATTCACATCTGTGAATTCTTCGATTTGCTTCAGGCAAAATGAAACATACTAATCATGAAGCATGAACTGAATAGTTTCAGTCAGACTCATAATACAAAAAAAATAAAAATAGCGTAAACTGTTCAATTCAAATGCAATTATCAAGTATTATCTTGTTGAAAATGATACTTGTTCGAACAGTCGACTAACCGTGGTGGTCTTTTCTCTGAGCCACTCTGGATCCCGCTCATCCTCACTGTCCACCTCCATCTCCTGTGGACGGAGGGGCATGCAGCTGTCACTGTGGAAATACAGACGATTATGTCCGCTCACATAAGTCCGCTGCTGCTCTGGCTCACCGTCCTCTGACTCTAAAAACTCAGACAGACTTGGCTTGATTCGCTTTGGCCTGAAAGAAAGTGAAGGATTAAGAAAGATCAATTAACATTTCTTGCATCACAACCATTTATAAAACAGGAGAATTTTGCATTTATCATGTAGCACACATAAGATTTTGTCAGTAAAAAGAACACTGAGTGACTAATGCAAAATCATACATTGATTATGCTTAACATGCCAACAATAAGTAAAGTCATGTAAATGCCTAAGCAGTGTTTTTTTATCAAGTAAAATTCATACCCCCGGTTTCACAGACATGGCTTAAGCCTAGTCCCAGACTAAAATGTAAATCTGAGCTGTTTCAACTGAAAGAAACTTCCACTGACTGATCTTAATATATATCAGCGCCTTTGTTTTGTCTATGTTTTTTTCTAAGGACGGTGTATAAAAAATTACTTAAATGTCCTTTTTGAACTACGGCCTAAGCCCAGTCTGTGAAACCAGGCCATAATGGTTTAAGCAAAACCCAACTTGCAGGTTTTGGCATATTTTCTACATTAAAACCTTTACAGGCATTCTGGCAGCTTATTCAATATGCACATCCCTGTATATATGTTGACATCAAAACTGGGGAAAGCTCGATTTAAAAAGCAGTTGAGCTTATTTTAAATAGTTGTCAGTGATGACAACACACTACTGCCTATAACAGGTTTAAATTCTAAATAAATAAAAATTGTGACAATGCTTTTTTTGTATGGATATATTATTTATAATAAAAATGGCAAAATTAATAATTGGGAATTTATATTTAATGCTGGGTTCAAACATAAAACTAAAATATCAAAATTACCCTGTAGTCTACAATAATAGCATTATTCCCAAAACACACTGAGACCTGTTTCATACCGACAAACAAGTATGTGGGTGACAGCTGTCCTCTTAACAGGGCCATTGCGGCTAAAGGCAAAGCCAGGCTGACTATGGATGTCTTGCGGATTGCCAACATATGAGCCATCATAGCACTCATTTATGGACACGTCTATCCGAGCACCTTTAGGATGAGGCTGGAAAACAGCATTCAAGAACAATAAGTTACAGGATAACAAACTCACTTGTAATTATTTCTTAATTGTTCACAGCTTATCGCACTTCTTACACTTTATTTTCTCATTCATGCATCCTGCTTCACTCTAATGCATAAATAACTTATAATACTGCATATGGACATATTTACATACCAAGATATATTAAAATCTCTATCTATAAACACTCTATATCATTGCCATGATATATATCATCATACCACCCAGCCCTATGTATAACTATATAAGGAATTTTTTATCTAATAAATTGATTCTATTCAACTTTTGGAATTAAACAGGCAGAGATTTATGAATGTGTCCTACTGTGCTGACCACATAGTTAAAGATGAATCTACTGTGGGAGAGTTTGAGGTGTTTCAGCAGGCTGTAGAGTTTACGGCAGTTGAGCGTGCACCAGGGACAGTGCAAGTCATCTCTGGCCTCTGTCTGCTGACGAGTATTATTGTTGTACAGAAACTGTGGACAAACAGAAATACCAGCATGCTGCATAAAGTTCTTGAAATTTGTTTTTATATTGCAGATGGTTCGCCAGTAAACCTACTGAGTAAATGTTGTACTACGCAGTGTTTAAAAAACAGCTGTTTTACTAAATTCTGCTGAGGTGAAATTCAGTGCAGTTCTGATACGTATCGTATCGTGGCTTTGCTGGTGATACACAGCCCTAGTCAAAAGTATAGACATGAGACGAGAGAGAACCATGGCTTCGAACTTTCGAAGTCACGTAGTGATGTCTGGGTTAGCTACATACATATCTGATTAGTCTAATATAGGATGAATTGGGATATTAACATTTATTAACATGCTGAACGCGCTCTATATTACCCGTGTTTAGCTTCATGCTCAAATGCAATGCCCCGATATTGACCGAGTTATTTGAGACGGCCATACTGCTTTTAGACGTTTCTTTTTTTAAAATACTGATCTTATAATAATGCAGCAGTGCTTTTTTCGTCATATTTGTTCAACAGTAGGCATACTTCAATTTAAATTGTTTTCATAGCCTACTTCATATGGCTTGATAATGTAGATGAAAATATAGCACAAATCTGCCATAAACAGCATTATAATGAGAACTTTATAGAAATCTAGCCTATAGTAAATTATGTCCTTGCCCGTGTTTCAGCGCGCTGTTATGAAAGCACATCACAGTGGGAGACTGGGAGCTCTCTCTCACTCTCGCTATAGCACGTAACTTAATGGCATTTCATGAACATAGCATTAGAATTAGAACTTTATACAATGTGAAATCTATAGTAAATTGTCTGCTTTCCTTGCCCGTGTTTCAGTGCGCAGTCTTGAAAGCGCATAACAGCGGGAGCTCTCTCTCTCTCACTCTCGCTATAGTGCGTAACTTAAAGTTCACTGGCATTTACATCCTTTTGTGCAGATACAAGTTGTAATGTTACATCTATGTTATGTATCTAAGTTATCTGATTAATATCATAGGATGTGTCATAGAACGGGCTTCAGTTTATTGGCATAAAGTCACTCTTCAGCTTCACCTCAGGCAGCCATTCCTTTTTAGATGCTTCTATTAATAACATTGCTGCATCATAATCATAATCTAACAGTGTTCTAATCATGTGTTCATGTTTTCATAGACAGGTTTTCATGTAAATTTTATTTTTAACATTAATTCTTTATAACAATCTTCAGATATTTTCATTAT